AGACACTCCCTCTGTACTGTAGCACCTGTAACAGTGCCATGGGGCAGTGCTACCTGTGGGTGGTCCTATTGAGAGTGGCTATTCAGCCACTAATGGCTGAGGGAGATTTGTATTCAATTCCGTGTGCTCCTAAACACCTTTTACCCCTTTCCAGAAACTCCCTTCAAGATGCACCTCTTACATGCCACTTGCTTTGGACTGGACTGGTGAGGGGAAAATGCCAGAAGGTTCTTGAGGGTTTTCAGCAGCAGATTAGCAACCAATGCCTCCCAGCAGTGCTCCCTTGTAGCTGAGAAATGGAAGTCCATGGCTTCTTTGCCTAGAGCTTCTTGGGCTTAGCTGGGTTCTGTCAAACCTTGCCTGGAGGCAGCCAGGGGATTGCATTCCTGTGCAGATGAAGGCATTGATGGAAGGCACAGCCTTCTGGTGCAGCCACCTGGAGGGCTTGGCTACAGGAAACATAACTGCAGAAAGCCTGCAACACTGGTAGACTGTCTGGGAGGAGGATACAGACTGAAGCAGCAATTCAGCTATTCCTCTTTTCTCTTTGTTCTGCTGCAGCAGATCTGTTCTCAAGGGACACTCCTCTTATTTCTCCCTAAAATTTAGAATATGTAATAAACTGATAGAGACCTAAGAATGCCATTGCCTATTTGTCTTCTTGCTTTCTCCCTCTCTCTCTGCCCTCCTTGAGCTATAGATTTTCATTTGGCTCCTGGCAATGCAGAATCTGTGTCTTACCCTCTCTGAGAAGGACTTCTCATCATTACCATCGAAGAGATAGGGGATCTCAGGTTCAAAAAGATGAAGTGGCCAGACCTGTGAATCAAATGCACGTTACTCAGTCCTCTCCAAAAAACAGTTCTTTCCTTTTCTACTTTTTAATGATATTAGCAACCTCTAAGCACCAAGAGTGTCATAAACTTTCCAGATTATAGTAATAATAACATTGTACAGTACATTGCACTGGGAATAAAATTATTTTACCCACTCCAATTTCCTTTTGTTTTAATGTGTGAATATATCAAATGAAAGCGTAGTAGGAAGTCTCGATGCAGGGGCCAAATGTGTTGCAAGCCAGCTCTTTCTGAAAGAAGAGCTTAATGCTGCAGGTTGAGAGCTTGAATTTTGCATTGTAAAGTGTCTGGCTTTGAATATTTGGTTGGCTCAGTTTCTCTGGAGCGCTTTGTGCAGTTCTGCTCTAAAACGCTTAGTAGGACAGGTTGTATCTGCAAAACTCATTCCTTGTGGGGTTCCTCTGTGAATGGCTGAGATTCTTTCTCTGTCTCCAGCGCTTGCCTGATGTTCTAACCTTTCTTTTCGCTCCCAAGGGCCTTCTTGAAACTGTTTCTTTTGAGAAAGCAGGTCCTGCGTGTTGCCAGGACAAGATGGCAAACTGTCATCGTCCTGAAATCCTCCAGGAGACGTGGAATGATGTCAAACAACATATTCTTTCTGTTCAACATTCTATTCGAACACATTAGAAGTACAATTAATCCCTACCATCTCTGTCTATCTGTAGTATGGAATGAGGTGGCTTTCCCAGCCTTTGCGTAGTGTGGCAGGCTGAGCTTGGAACCAAGACTTCTGGAATCCTATCCTATGATTTTAACATAATCCTCTGGGAGCTGGATTCACCCCTTGTTCAGTCCCCACACCTTTGCTTTTATCAGGTTATATTTAAGGCTGTTTTCTCAGCCTCCTGTGCCATTTCCTTGAGCGCTTTTCTCTTCAAGACAGCCCTAGGCTTTTTGGTCTCACTTTTGAGAGATAGGGGTTCATGTGAGGTTTAAAATGTGGTAAAATGCTTGTTGGTCTTGCAGGAGACCTGGTGCTGTGATTGCAAGAGAGATGACACAGCTTGAATAGTAGTGATTCAATTAAAGTGATGTCCCTTTCCACTAAATGGAGCTTAAGGTATTCTTAACGGTAGAACAAAGCTGAATGTACACCCCCATGTTTCTAAGCTATGTGACAGCCCAGGTGGACCTAGGGGGGATTGGGGAGAGAAAAATTAAACTGACACAACATTTATCTCCAGCATTCTCATTTTGCTATAGGTTAGTGCTATATATTGCTTTACACTGCAGAGTAAGGATTAGTTTATATAATATTTCTATCAAACTCTGGTAACAATGATGATGACAAAGTGTTTTGGTATTGCAGCGCTTGCTCAAAAACCCTCTTGTACAGTACAACTGTACTTAATGTTTTGCTGTGGAAATTCCCTATGTAGAAATGCCTTTAGGCAGGTGAGATGGAGGTTACAGAAGGCAGGTAAAAGTATGGGGTGGTGGGATGGCCAAAGGGAGAAGCATGCAAGTTGGAAGGCTTGAGGCTAAAGAGTTTGTGCACCATGTGGGGCACAGCTGAGCAACTTGAGGGAACATTTAACTGGGAGCAAGAGCTGCAGATAAATATTCTAATTCCCACAGGATGGCTGGCAATTAGTTTTCGCAGCAAGGTCATGTTTGTGAAGGGAGAACAGAGCCACCAGCCGGCAAACATAGCCCAGAGAATGAGAAGAGAGATTTCAATAGCTTTGATGCTGTAGGGTGTCAGGACCCCACTGAAACAGGGGTGGTATAGGTCAGGAGGAGGGAAGGGACAGAGTTTTTCTCTTTTAATCATAGAGCAGGGAGTCTTCATCATCACAGAGTGTGTCTTGGCACTGCAAGCAATGTTCTGCAGTGCATGTGGGTAGAGGTGTTACAGCATGTCTGCAGAGGGCTGGAGCAGCGTGATAAGAGGCAGTGTTTTGGATTTGAAGTGCACTGGCAAAGGTTACATGGGCATCTGAATTGCTGCTCTGCCATTGTTTGCTTGACAAGCAATCATGCAGTCTTTTACTGATAAGTCACTGTCTTACTTAAAAAGCATAAACATGTGTTCATATGTATATATGCACATACATAAGTTCCTGCTTTCTTCTTCCTTCTGTGTTCAACAAGAATTTTCTGCCATCCAGGCATGGGAAGGTCACTCATCTGCTCAGTTGTATTAGTGGAGCTTTGACTGTTGTTTCAGAGATGGCAGGCAAGTTCCTACAAGTCCTGCAGATGAAAAAGATTAAGGGATTTGTCCATGTTTATGCCATCATACTGTTCAAATAAACATATTACTTCTCTTAGCCAATAGCTTGGATAGTAATGAGCCCATCATGATTGTGCCAACCAAGTAACATCAGACTGGAAGGGCAGTGGGAGACTGGCATGAGTTGTCCAGAGAGGTGGTGGATACCCTGTCCCTGGAGACACTCAAGGTCGGGCTAGACAAGACTCTGAGCACTCTGGTGTAGCTGTAGGTGTCTCTGTTTGCTGCAGGGGAGTTGGACCAGCTGACCTTTTAAGGTCCTTTCCAACTCAAATAATTGTGATTCTAGAAAGATAATAGCTTGCTGCCTGAGTGCTGTGTGACCATGCCATGAATGGAGAACCCAGCAGCAAGAGCAACTGGCTGCCCACGGTCCTGTGGCCACTCTTGTGTCATAGCTGCTCAGTGCTTTGTGGTGACACCAGTTTGTACAGGCTGAACCTCAAAGGCAGATCTCTGCTGCTTAAGCCCAGCCTGCCCTGAGTCTGTTCTGCTGGTGCATGGAACCAGCGTGAATCTGAGCACTTCTATTTGCCATCTGGTTGGGTTTAGAGCATTTTGGTCATGCCTGGAGCAAAATAAGAAATAACTTAAAAAAAAAAAAAAAAAATCCATGGAAGAAAATAGTAGTTCAGCTAACCTTGAGGAAAAAGTGGGTGCTTAGTTCAGCTGTGACAGGTTGTATAAATCGGTGCTTGTTTCAGAAGGCTCACTCAGGCTCTTTGCTTTAAACCCTTGGATCACCTGTCTTCCTGTCTTGTCACTGTCTTGTTAGTTTGCATTGTATTTCACTAATAGCAGCTGGAGCTGTGACTCCGGAGTCACCTGGAAGTGTTGTAGCAAGACAGGGCAGTGCATCCCAAGGGCACTCTCACCGAGGTAGTGGTTCTTAGACATGTGTGGGTTTCTCTGTTCCTTGAAGTGTGACTGGAGTTTTCCCTCGAACAAGCACAGGTGTCTCATTGGGCTGCACAGTCACTTTCGATACATCTCAGCCGCTTCAGTGATCACACAGATGCTTTTGGATTAGGGAACCAAGGGCTGCTCATACAGATCTCTAGAGTTAAGGTGATTTTTTTATTAGGTCCTGTTTTCTTGCTGTTTCTCTCTCCCTGCTGTTGATTAGAACTGCAGTAGATCACTGGTTGGGGAAGTGCAGTTTTGTAAACTCTGGGAACTTTCTTTCCATGAATTTTTCCTTTGCACAACTCTCTTGTTCTCCTGGCTGGACTGGCAGTCACTGGTCTACTCCTAGAATCCTGGGAAGAGAGAGAGGAACCCTAGAGCTAATGCATTTCCTGGTCCCATGGAGACTGTTTCCTCTGGCACAGAGTTGCAATGGTCGCTGTGTAACTTGGGAAAGACTTGTTTTTCCTGTAGCATGCACTACGCATGTTCTAGGGACATACTGAAAACCATATGGAGCATCAAGGCCCTTTCTGACTCCACTCAGCCCCCTGCATAGTAAACTTATAGTCATTAGGCCCATTTTAGACAAGCATAGAACAGCCATGATTTGAACAGATCCCTGCTTTAACCTCTTGTGTATGCTCATCTCTGGGAGAGCAGGGAGTTCTTGATCCTTAGCCCATTCAGGGAGGTCTTTAAAACAAAACAAAACAAAAACCTCCATGTTTTCTTTTCAGTGCCTAGAGCTGCTAATCTCAACAGTGCCTAAGAACTTTAAGTAGAAGGTGATACCAGGCTCCCAGGAAATAAGGATAATTACTCAATTCTCCATCTTCTGAGTCTTTTGTGTCTCATACCCAGCACTATCTGGCTCTTCCCTTCTGTGGTTCAAGAGGTGGCTCTTCCATCCTTCTGTGGGCACAGCTGTCATGGGTAGTGGAGTCAAGGGGGTGGAGTGCTGTTTGTTTCCTTCATTACCTCTTCTTTCTTCTCTGCAGCTCCTGCTCAGGCCCAAATTATCCATGCTGGGCAGGCATGTGTAGTGAAGGAGGACAACATCAGTGAACGTGTTTACACGATTCGGGAAGGGGACACGCTGGTCCTGCAGTGTCTGGTCACAGGACACCCCCGGCCACAGGTAAGACTTCAGTCTCACCTGTCAGCAGGATGCCCAACTTTATCCTGCATGTTGGAGCCAGGTAGTGTCCTATGGCCCGAATATTAACTGTTCAAACTGTGAAGAAGCCTTGTTTTCAAGGAATATGTTCCAAACTGTTTTTCAGGAGCCTACCCAAAACATCTAGTGGTATTCAGTATGTGAAGTTTCTCTCAAAATAGAAGAGCCCATTGTACAATCTACCCTCAAACCTTTGACCTCACTTTCTACAAAAACCTGAACAGACTAGAGAAGATTTGACCCAAATGCTGACCACAGAAGCAGGTCCTTCATGGCTCATCTCTCTCTTTGGTTCTCTGGTTGTGCAGGCAAGGAGGAACTTGCCTGGGGGAGTTCAGAAAGTTGCTTGTGGCGTACTCTGTAGAGCTCCACAAAGAGCCCACTAGTCCTTGCTCTAGAGCCATCAACAAGAGGCAGATTCAGACCTGTGGTGCTGGATGTGTTCATGCTGTGGTCAGCCTCAGCTCAGTGAGGAGGCTTGGCAGTGAATATGGCTAACTGCTGCAGTCTTTCCTCGGGGCCCCTGAAGGGCCGTATAGCCTCAAGTCCTGTGCAACCCCCTCTGCACCCCTCAAATACTCAGAGTAGGCTGTTTCAATATCAGTGTAAATGGTGTCTATAAAGATGCTCAGCCAGGAGCATGGGTCTGCCTGCTCTTGGACAATATGGAAGGCATGGCAGCTGGTGTGTGCTGGGAGGCAGCGTATGCCAGAATACGCTCAAGGGATCCAAGTATGATATGTGCACCTTCTTGGCCCTCTTTTTCAGTCATTCCAATCAAAGGCATTTGTGCTGAGCAGTACACATTAGCATGTGTCAGTCAACCTCTCCATGGACTTGCTTGTGAAGAGATGGTTTACTGAGAGGAGACAACAAAGGAGCAGGAAAGAGGCTCAGCAGGATTTGAAATGAATTGTCCATCAAAGCATATCCTGGAAGCAATTAAAATATAAATAAATCTGAACCAAGACAGCAAGAATGACCAGCCTAGACTTGTGAAAGTGCTAGGTGGGTGATAGCTGTGTACATCAGAAGTGAGGAGGATGGTGGGGCTGGCTCTACCTAAGGATGTTGAACATGTTGCTGGTTGTGGAGATTTGAACCTGAGAAGACAGATTTCTGTAGCAGAGCCTGATGCAGACAGCATGCTTGTGGGCAACACTGAGGTGTGATATTGCGCGGACACACCCAGGGGACACTTGTAATGCAGAGCCAGGCATGATGAGGGAGGCCTGGCACCTGTGCATTAAACATGGGATGTGTCCTATTTCTGCCCCCTCTCTTCACAGATAGATTTCTTTCTCAGCTAAGCTCTTTTCCTAACCTTTGTTTAATCTTTTCCTTCTTATCAGGCAGTCATTAAAGTATGAAAATGTGGCCAAAATACTTAAATGAGATTGAAATTGAAAAGATTAAAGAGCTGGCTGAAGTATTTTTGCAAACAGGAGACTTGATGCCCTCAGACAATTTCATAATAAGCCTACAAAGGCTAAATAAATCCTTGATCATTAGCTCCAAAGTCTGCTCAGCCTGGTGCTGTGAGACTGTGATTTAAACATGCCTGTCGTTTCTAGAGCACCAGCATCAATCAGAAGGTGGCAGTGAGCTTTAGGCAAAGCCTGGGGTCAGGGATCAAGGAATCTGGTCCTTCCCATCCATTGCCAAAGTTGAATGAATGTCTGTCTCCTTTCTGTTGGCAGATCCTGTTGGATCCCAGCCCCAGAGACTAGATGGCGCAGGTGTGGGAGCCATCAGTGTCATCAGCCTTTAGAAGGGTAGTTTGTGATATAAGCAGTCAATAGGCTGAAGTAAGCCGTCTCTACCTTCTATCATCTGGGCTGTAGAAAACGAGGGCAAGCTTGTACCAATGCTGCTTAGACTACACCTCATTACAAGCCTTAAAATACCTTTCAGTCTTTAGAAGTGTTGTCCTCTTGCCAACGTTCATTGTGAAATACTGAGTCACTATGTTGCCCCCATCAGTCAGGACTTTAAGACATGTAACATATGGTCAGAAATCCAAGATACCCTGAAATCTGAAGGGATTCTTGTTTCTTTTCTTTTTCTTTGTTTTAAAATCAAAGCAAAAGTTTGTGTACTGCAGAAGGGTGACATATAAAAGTAACATACGTGGGGTTCCCTGTGGGAAGGAGGTGAGAGCCACATAGTGACAGCAGTTTCAACTGTTGGAAAAGCAAACAGCAGAAATAACCTTGCTGTCCAGAGAAAGATGAAAGGGTGCTGACTGCAATAAAAGCTCTGTAGCTGTAAGCTGATGTCTTCTATAGCTTCATGGCCTGCTAGCCACGTGGGATCCTGAGGCTTAACAATGAAAGTCCTGTGCTGCTCATACAGTGATATTAAACTAAGCAAGTTAGAGGACAAGATCAGGGGTGATGATTGTGTTGTGTGTGTCTGTGATCTGAAGGATTATCCCAGGTGCTAGGACATAAGAATTGGTGATGGCTAAGAATTAGCAGCTAGTCTGCAGAGACATACTGAGATCAACAGTTGAACTTTGGTAGTCTGGTGGTGCTTTGGGGCCCATTTCTATAAATGGCTGGGAAGGGGAGAAAAGGGAGCTCTGCTGTCCCCTGGGATCTCTGGTTTCTGTCACTAGTAGATTGTGTTTCTCTTTCTTGTGCAGGTGAGATGGACCAAAACAGCTGGCAGCGCATCGGACAAATTCCAAGAGACGTCAGTGCTTAACGAGACCCTTCGGATTGAGAAGATCCAAAGGCTGCAGGGGGGCCGCTATTACTGTAAAGCAGAAAATGGGGTTGGGGTCCCTGCCATCAAGTCCATTCGAGTAGATGTGCAGTGTAAGTCGTTTAGTGGCAACCCAGATCTTCCCACAGTTCTACTGTGTGTCTCTGTCTTGCTGCAGGGCTAGTAGGCAGCTGCATTGCCCTAGGACTGTGTGCACCTAATTCAGTGGCAAAGGGACTATTATGCTGTTTTTCCCTAGAGATCAGATATCCATCTGAGAAAAAGATGGCTCTGCCTGTCCAGGCCAATGCTCATTTCTAGGTATTGTGGTGTCTGCCACTACAAGAAATCCTAGCATTAGTGTGGGATGTAGCGTTGTAGATGGCTTCTGCAGTCTTTATCTTCATTTTGAAGATGGCTTGGTTCTTGAAATCAGTACTTCTTCAGATGTCTGGAGCGTTTCTGAAACCCCACATCTCAAACTGCAGTGCGGTGGAAACAGAGCAAAAGATTCTGGGATGCATCTGAAGAAGCTGAGCTGTGAAAGGACAGATGTGAAGGAAACTACTGAGGATCCCTTGGTTTCAGAAGTGACTTAGTATTTCTCTGGCTGTTTGCAATGCCTGTCTATCTTGTGTTCTGGCAATGCTATTAGGAGCTCTCCACCTTTGAAGGTTCTCATGCTGATTCTTGGGCATTCTTATATTTATTCTTGGGCAATTGTGGCTAAAAGAGAGGGTTAGGCTTGTCCTATACTTCCCAGATAGGAGGAATTGGAGATTTAAGGTCTAGGCAACTTTTGAAGAGGTTTGCCCTCAAGGATTAAGATTCTGCTCATTGCTTTTGGCTATCCACTGTTCCAGATTCCTCCGATCCTATTAGCACCACATCCCACTCCTCACATCATCTGAGAAGGTCCAGCAATGGACTGATGCAAAAGTTGCAAGTGATTATAAAGCCCTTCTAGCAAGGTGGCCTTTTGTGCTGATGTAACTGTTGTCAGCGGAGCAGTCTTCAGGCTTAAAAACCCCGGGATGTGCTTGAAGTCTGGGCAGAGACTTTGCTTGCAGGAAACACTGCCTGGTTGCATCCTTTTACTGCCGCTATCCAGTCTTGAAATGAGAGCTAGTGTGTTCAAGCGCTGTGCTACGTTCTGTTTAGATTATGTCTGTATGTGAAAATCCTTATGCTTGGGTTACCTCATGATCCATATTCGTGTTATCTAGCTTGGAGTGGTTTTCATCTCCCTCCCTTCCTTTCCCTACCCTGTATGGGCAGTAGTAGAGCATGAGCAGCATCCCACAGATCTGGAGTATATGCATGAGTGTCCAACCTTTTGGCTTGTCTGGGCCACACTGAGTGATGAGGAATTGTCTTGAGCCACGTGTAAAACACGCAATATAGTTAGAGCATGTAAGTAACAAAACCTGTTTTTTTATTTTTTTTACTATTTTTTTAATTGTTTTTAAAGAAGGGCAAAAGTCATAAAACTAGCAGATTGGACACGTATGGCAGATCACTTCATCTGAGCCTCTTGCCACTTTGAATAGGATGAACGTTACTTCATGGGCATTGCATAGCTTTGTTGGAGAAGTTCTGACACTCACCAAGCTCTGCTTGGCTTCTCTAACCATTTTCTCTCTTGCATTCAATAACTCTCCATATTAAAAGAGTCTGGCTTTTCTCAGTACTCAATATGGCAACTTGTCAGAGTCTTTGTCTCTAGGAATTGGACTGTTGCATGATGTGGGCTATGGGAATTCCCTTTACTTCTGAGATGCAGACTGGAACTAGAGTGATGTAGCATCCTGTTGTCCTTTATGCAGCTCTGACCTGTAGAACTGTGGGGCTAATGGGATGGCCAAGGGCTTTCTCATACTAACATCTACTCTGAAGATGGACTTGGTAATGCACCTCTGTTCTGCTCACTTGGTTTTTGGGGAGGAGAATCTATTTTCTGTTGGTATTTGCAATAGATATAAGGGAACACATAGGAACAGCCACAGTTTTTGTTGAACGCTCACCCGGGCAACCTTCATCTGAATGAACCAGAATTTGAAAATACAACCCTTTTTTCCCCACATCCCTATTTGTAGTTAGAGGTAAGTAATCACTCTCATTTGGACCTTGATGTCTTTTGACAGCCAGTACTACTCTTCACTCATAGTATTAGACAGAAAGGTTGTATGAAGAGCACTGTTGGTACCAAGAGGATATCAAACTGGAAGCACTAACCTGTGTAGCAAGTTATTCCTTTGCCCCGAGTGTGTGTTGAGTGAGACTTTAAAGTGTTGTTCAGATGCTGGCATAGAGGCAGCTGCAGAGTGGAGTATTTTTATGTGCAAGAGAGGGAAAGGAAAGAAAAAGAAAGAATAGATGTTTACAAGCTTATATTGCGCACGAAACATCCCATGTGATCTTCTCCATGAGCCGCCTTGGGCCAAATTTATCATTCGTGCGGCTCACTGACATCAGTGGCTTTACTCGTACATCAAGCACACGTGTATCGTCGTGGGTCTTATTTCAGCTTTTCTCGGGAGGACTAGGCTTACAGTTGACTGTTATTAAAGAAGGATGGAAGATTTGAAGGAGGAAAGGTCTAGTAAGAAAAAGGAAGGTAATATTTTCTATTTGGGGAGTAGCTGGGAACCAGCAGACTTGAATGGAGAGTGTCTTCTTTGATGGATAAGGGAAGTGTTTTGCCATGAAAAGAAATGGGGCCTCAGAGGGGTGGTAGCTACTGAGTTATTCATCTAAAGGGTGAACAAACAAAGGGGGATTAAGGAATGCAGAAGAAGAAGGACAATGCCCAAAGTCCAGATCCAAGAGATGTAAATCTTAGTCATGGCCATATGGAGAAAGCACTTTATGGACAGAGGCTGTTTATCTCCACTTGTGTATGTTTTTCTACAGTATTAGATGGTTTTTGTGTGTTTTGATTTTGTTTTCTCCTGCCTTGTCTACAGCTCTACTCATCTCTCTGAGCTATGTTATGGGCAAGCCAACAAGTATACATCTTACAAAAATATGCAAATCCAACAGTTAACACTTGTGATTCAGCAGAGAACATACATTATTTGGATGACTTGTTAGCAGAAACTCATCTCTCCTCCCCCACTTCCTTCCTGGGAGCCAGACTTCCAAACTTGCAAATCTCTAAAATAATGTATCTTGAAAATTAGGTGACACACAAGAGCTGGAGGTGATGGGCACATGTCCTCTTCCTCTCTGCTGTTATGTGCAGAAGACAGTGCTGGCAACAGAAGGGCATTCTGGATATGTGTGCTTCAGTAGTTTTGCAGTTGAAGATGGGTTCATAAAGCTTCTGAAAATACAGAAGTGCTTCACTGAGCTCAACAGACTACTTTGAAGACATGCTTAAGGTCATGGGGCACATTTCAGTTTTAGAGGGCAAAGTTGTCCCAGCTTTTCAAATGGGATTTTTACATTTAATCCTACTCAATATCATAGTGGTTCTGGAAGGGGAAAGAACTCTGAGGTTTTTCCTTTCTCTGTGCTTCCTTGACTCCTTGATGTTCAGACAATGTCTGAAGGAAAAAAAGAAAAAATCTAACAAGGTAAATATCTCCTTTTTAGCAGGAAGGCAACCAGTAGGCAGCGGTGTGACCTGGATGGAAGCAGAAAGTACCCTCCGAGTACCCTCCCTCCAGGGCTATTGCTTGTGTCCTTGCAAGTGAAGTTATTGATAACCACTGAATCAATGACAACAGTTGTGTGATGTGGCTATGGTGAAGGAAGATTTGGAAGGACTAATTTCTGTAAAGGGAGAAAAGAATCTGATCAGTTTAGGAGTGAGTGATAGAGATGCAGTTAGTAGATGTTACTGAAGAGTCAGCACAAACATTGTGAAGCAGAAAATACAGGCAGTACTTAAACTGGGCATAAGAGGGAAGTTATACACACCAATCACTATGTTTTGCCTCTCATGTTCTAGCAGCACTCCATCAAGACTTGCTGGTATCAAGGACATTGATCTTGTCCTGGTTTCTATCCTCACCCCTTGACTTATCAACCATGGGCTTAGCCCTGTGATTTCAGAAGGGAGCAGAGGAAATGAGGATGTGGTAGAGTTTCCTGGGATCCTTCCAACTTCTCGCTGAAGCTGATAATGGTGATTTTAGGTGTGAGGTGTCATTGGTGGTCAGGTGACCAGCCCATTGGTCAGACAGGTGTGTGGCAAACAGGTGGTTTACTGGAAGGCCACATAGAATCCGCAAACTGGAGGATGCTTTCTATTCTTGGAATGTTGTGTGGTGAGCGGGAGAATTCTGGCTTCTCCTGTCTGTTCCCTTTAGATGCTGTTAGTATTACCTGCCTTCAGATCAGTTCTGAATTCAGCAGTTGTTCTTGGCTAAATGTATGAGAGCTACCCTTCTCCCCTACAGCCCCTGGAGCATCATCTGCTCTGCAGGCTGTACATGCAGACAGTGCTTCACTAACAACTGCTGTGGCCCTCCTTACCTTCCTTCCAGATCTAGATGAACCTGTCCTCACTGTTCATCAGACTATCAGTGATGTACGTGGCAGCTTCTACCAGGAGAAGACTGTTTTCCTCCGTTGCACCGTCAACTCCAACCCACCAGCTCGCTTCATATGGAAACGGGGAGCTGAGACACTTTCCCACAGTCAGGACAATGGTGTGGACATCTATGAACCCCTCTATACACAGGTGAAAAAAAGCAAACCTCCACGAGCTTGTGATTGACATCTTAGTGTGATGTAGTGCCTTCTGTACCGCATGATGTTTCTCTCTCTGTGTGGGTTACAATGGTGGGGAGAGGGTGGTGGGCACTGCAAGGAGCATCAGCTTCAAAAGGGCTGGTAGTGCGTTCTTCTGTTTGTAGGTCCTCAGGGAGAAAGAGAAGCAGGAGAGCAAGAGGGAACATGACAGCCTAGTATCCTTGGCTTGGCGTTTCTTCCCCATTTGGTACTGTCCTTGAGTGCAGGACCGATTTTCCCTAACAAGTTTTATGTTGCTGATGACTCAGTAGTTCTGAATGTACTTAAGATGTCAGTCAGCACTAGAACTTATGGAGGATGACTAGGATGGGTAAGAAGGGAGGGCTAGGTGGGCAGTTCCTAAGGGCACCCATTTCATCCCACATCCAGTTCTGCTCTCAGGCACTCCCAAAGCTGGGCCCTAAGCACATTGTGACTGAGTTTGATTTTTGAGCATGCTGTAGGCAACCTTTTAGTTAATGCAGTCATGTTCATATTTTATTGAAACACGCTATTTCTGCAAGTTGTGGAAATAGGCAGCCAAATGGAAACACACAGGCAGATTAGGGGAGAGCACAGTGCTTTGGGTTCCCAAGCAGACTGTAGAAATGCTGTAGGTCAGTGCTGCTTTGGTCCTGAAGAGAGCTTTGTCTTGTGTGGTGCTCTGTGGCATAACCAGCCAGGACATCCCTGGCCTCAGAGGAAGCCACTCCAGGCACATCCAGCTTTTATTAAGCTCTTTATGGTTAACAGGATACATTGCTTAGGAAGAGGATGTCCTAGTACTTGAGATGTTCTCTCCAGCTAAATAAGGCATTCAGTGGAGGTTCACTGTAGTGCCAGGTTAACATGTAAATGACCCCAAACCCTGCAGCTCCAGTCAGGCAGTGTTCCTACCCTGATGAGCCTTTGGGTTGAGAAGAGTTGAAATTAGGTGAAGCACGTGTGGAGAGTAAAACCTTCCTGGAGCTCAAATAAATTGTGCTTAACAAAGCGCTCTTCACAGAGCTCGTAGAATTGTCTGAGACAAGCCAGATGAACTGCTATCAGAGCCAGGTTCGGGTAGCCCTTTGCACTAGAAAGGACAAAGATTTTGCTGTCTAAGCTTTTAAAAACTTATTTACACTGAAGGTTTATATGCATTTACTAATCAATAAACTGGATACATATGACTGTATAAGTCACTAGCTGATATGCCCGTAGTAAATGCCATCATTTGCGCAGCATAGCAACAAATCTTAGGGGACAGGACTTCCGTAGGGTGATTGGTCTCCTAGGTATTTATCTTCCTAATTTACTCAGTTCAAATCCTTGTTCTATGCATATTAGCATGCCTGAGCTCATCGTCCAGTCCCTTGAGGTTGCCTCAAGAGGATTTGTCATGCTGACACCTTCTCACATTTACAGGCAATTACGGAATGGTTTCTCCAAAAGAGATTTAGACAAGCACAAGGAGCACAGCAGCGACAAGCTGTCGTGAGAAGACATATGAGTTGCAGGGTGTGCAAACCACAGGATGCATCTCTGAGCTTTCTGCATTCCATAAATAAAAATTTACGGAACACATCTATTGTTAATTTAACAACTTTATTCTGCTTTTATAACATGATAGAGTGTCAGCAAGTGATTCTTGTGCTTGTTTGTTGCCATAGCATGAGAAAAGGCTATCAAACTCAGTGCAGACACTCTGGATTTATGCCAGTGTAAATGAGATTAGAATCTGGAGAAAAGAGATCAAAAGAGTTGAGGGGAGGGGATATTTGAGTATTTCTCAAATTTCCCTTTTTTTTTTTTTTTTTTCAGGACTGCAATTTTTTTTTTTTTGTGTGGCTTAACTATTGATCATGCCATATTTAAGTCAGCATCAGCCCTGGTTTACTTTGTTTTTGCAATGCTGAGACTCCCCTCACTTTATTTAGGCTCCCACTGACATCTCAGCGTGAGCTCAGGGGCTGTCCTTGGACATTTAAGGCTTTTTTTCTTTCCATGAGATGACTGTGACAAAAGCTGACAAGAAATTAAACCTAGACCCCTTCGGCACCTCTTCCAGGTTTTGTGACATTTGCTGGGCATTCTGAGAAACTCAGAGCAGTCCCTGCAAATGCTTTGTGTCTCCTATGTGTATAGCTAGGAGGGTTTGGAGTCTGCACAGCTTCCTGAGGTTTGAATGGTTATTACTTGTAAGCTCTGGGCCCGGTGATTGACTTGCAGTGATGAGCTGTACTTTGTACATATACATCTTTCTCCTCCTTTCTTCCTGACTCCCAGGGTGAAACCAAAGTCCTGAAGCTGAAGAACCTGCGGCCCCAGGATTACGCCAGCTACACATGCCAGGTGTCTGTCCGCAATGTCTGCAGCATCCCTGACAAATCGATCACCTTCCAGCTCACAAACACCACAGGTAATGCAGCAGCCTGCAGAGCAGCCATGGCCTCTCCAGGCCTACAGCTTTTAGAAAATCACCTCCATTTCACACGCGTGGCTGACGTTGTAAATCCTTAAGGCAGGAACTCTGTGGTCAGGGCTGCTTTAATTTCTTGCAGCCAGTGCCATGACTAGGCCTGCTGTGTGATCATTAAAGCAGACTATACGTAGGTGTTGAGGCACAACGGAGTTTTTAATCCAGACGCTGTTTTATTTATTTATAATTCTAAGTGATTTTAAAAATAAATTTCATACAGTCTGGAGCAAGGCAGCTGCTGCAGAAGTCCTTACAAATAATTAATCTATGTGTGACTGTGTGCTGCTTTGCAGTGCTGCACTTAGAGAACTCCCAGCCCAAGGTTCCCATGAGTACAGATGTTTTTGGAAGGCAAATATCTCTGGTGCCTTCCCAATAAATAAATCCTAGAACTGCACACACATGCACTGATATCCATGCAGGCAGGGTCTGAGTGCATCTCCAGTTGCAAACAGAATCAATTTGGTACCCCTCGCTTGACATGCATGCAACAGCTGAAATCATATACCAGATGCATTGCAAAGACCTGACTGTAACCAGTCTGTTGAACAAGAGGGGAAAAAAAAAAAAGCAACCCACACCATTACAGAGTCCCCACTTGTCTTGAATATTATCAAATAATAAGCAAATGTCAGAAAATTGCTTCCAGCTCTGGGGTATTTCATGATCAGAAAGGAAGGCAATGTAGGTGTTTGAATTATTCACCTCTCTTATGTAGCACAAAGTAGTTTGTATCCCTGGTGTCATCTTTGTGCCGTAGAAACAACACCTTTTGATGCTGACAACTGTTGATGGGATATTGTTGATACAGTATAAATTATGTTTATTGATCTGACTGAGCCCAGGGTGCTGAACGGTAGTTGCTTCATTTTATTTAGAAAGAAAAAAAGTCAACTATAACTCATGTTGGAGTAAAAATATTCCCCTTATGGTAAGATCTCTGTGAGATCTTCTCAGGCAACTCATGTCACTTCCTGAGCTTGTCTCAGAATGAAACTGCAGAGAATGCAGGAATATTCTCTTTAAAAGCCTTGTGCTCATAGTAAGGAAAGGGATCTCTGCCATCTGCTATTTCCTACTGTGGTTTACTTCTGTAAAGTTTAAAAAAAAAAAAAAAAAAAAATCACATTTCTCTTCATGCTCCCTCTCCTCTGCCAGTCCAGCCCTTCATTTCAGCTCAGCCCTTTCATTGAGTGAATAGGAAAATGTATTTTCAAGTTGTTGCCAGATCAGAAGCCAGCATAGATCTGAATTCATAGAATCATTAAGGTAAGGAAAAGATCTCTCAGATCATCTAGTCCAGCCATTGACCGACCCCTGCCGTGCCCACTGACCGTGTCCCTCAGTGCTACATCCACATGGCTCTTGAACACCTCCAGGGGTGGTGACTGCACCACCTCCCTGGGCAGCCTCTGCCACTGCATCACCATCTTTAAGAGAATAAAATTCTACTAATATCCAACCTGGACCACTCCTGGCATACCTTAGAGCTGTTACCTCTTGTCCTATTAAACACCAGCTTATTAGGTACTTATCAAAACTCTGAACTTGGTTCGTATATCTTATGCATCTAGTGATCTTTTTCTTGTGCTTTAGCTGTAAATGCACGCTTACATGTGGTTATAAAAGAGCCTGACACCACATGCTCAAAGACTATGGATAATGTATTCCCATTAAATTGTTTTCAAAAGCTACACGTGAAAATGAAGCTGGTGTTGCACTAAAGGTAGGGTTTGTATTAAATAGCATGAGAATATTTATCATTAAATATTATCTGGCTTACTTACAATGTTGGTAGTGTTTGTGCACAGGTGAGAAAATACTGTAAAAAGAAATTGTAGTTCTCTCCTTGTTTTGCATAGATCTCTTTTCCTCTTGTGTTCATTGCAGCAGCAAACTCCATAGCCTCCTTCCCTCAGGATGCCTTGCAACTGAGAAGGGTCCAAAGGGTGCAGAGGTGCATGGAAATCAATTTCTTAAACATTTATAGACCCAACTGCAATTGACTTTGAGAGGAACTAGTGGAACAAGAGAACCTGCTCTTCTCAGTCTGTTTGCTCCTCAGATAGTTCACTTGGGCTCTCTGGCCAGTTGCCTTTAGGCAGGCCACAGTGTCCAGCATGGAGATGTGCTTCTCCCCAGGCCAGTGTCAGAGGCTTGGCACTCACAGCAGGCAGAGAGCTCTCAAGTCTTCAGCCTCAGCAGGAAGGAGGCTTTCCCTTGCTGCTGTCCTGTGGCTCTGGAGCAGCAGGTTGGATCCAGCAGAACCACGGTGCCAGCTCAGCACCAGGCTGTCATTGCCTGCTCTGGCAGGGCAGGGCTGATGTTTTCTCTTTCCTTGATTTCTGCAAAATTAAGCAGCCCAGCTGGTTAATTCTCCTGCAGTTTTACTGCAGCAAATTGGACTTCAAAGGGAATTGAAAGCGACTCTTTGTTTTTAATGGTCCCCTTGCTTCTCTGCAGACTCTGCCAGCAGGTTTTCTGAGCCAAGAACAAAAGGAATTGCCACAGGTTACAAATAAATGAGATTCATCTCATGCATAACAATGTCTGCAGCTTGTTAACCCCTGTCTATTGATAGGAGTGGGATCCCATGCAGACTGCCACAGCCAGGGCTCCATTTTGGGACTATGGAGGCTCTCTGCATCATGCTGTGTGGGTGGCAGCTTTGCAGCTTTTCTGCTTTCAATCTTACATGCAACCTGCCCCAAGGCAGTGCTTGCCCAATGCATCACTTCTTTTCCATGCTTCCTTGCCCAGAACATGTTACAGCTTTGCAAGGTGAGTGTTCATCCTATCTGCACATCAAGCAACACAGGATCCTAAAATCTTAACCAAAGGCTGCAGGAGTTCTGGTTCATACTAACTGACGTATTCTTTCTGGGTGTAAGCAGGTTTCAACCTTTCTCTAGCTGGGATGTAGATGCAAGGATGCCCCCAGGCAAGATGCTGCATCTAGCAGCTTGTCTGCATTCTTGACTGATACTTCTTCAGTGTCAGGGAGCAGGAACAGCTATGTGGTATCAGTTGTATTCCTTCTCGCCACAGAAAAGTGTCCTGCCTAGGCCACAGTCTGTTGAGGTATTTTGTTTGCTGGGTTTCACCAAGTTTCATGAGGTCATCTGGAGCCCAGAGAGGACAAATCCTTGCTTTGTCACTTAATGAGCCTTCGGGCATGGGTTTCTCTCCTGGAATGCTGGAAGCAATCATAGATCCTGAGTGCAGGCTGTGGCCTCTCAAAATTCAAGGGCTCCAACCACAGGCTTCAGAATGGCCAGAAGTGCAGGAGGCAGAGGAGTAGCCCTCATCCTTAAGCATAGCTGTCCACATCTGGTTGCAAAAAGCACATACCATGGCCAGGGAGAGGGCATTGCATTTAGTGTGCTAACGCAGTATTCCAGCATAGCAGTAGTTGCAGTGCTAAATTATGGTGCAGGTGCTGAGAAGGGAGCACTCCTCCTTGCCTTGTTTGTATGAGCTGTAATTCAGAGATCCAACACCAACCCAGCACAGCTCATTAACACAGGGTCTAGGGAGAGGGAGGCTGAAATAATGATGCTGTTAAATCAAGCTTCATGAATATGGAACAATGTCTTATTTTGCATTATTATGGCAGTTACTTAAAACGTACTCCCAGCCTTTGTGCTGTGGACTGCTACTTTCTCAGCTCTGTCTGGATGGAGCCAGCAGTGATGCTGACAAGGGCTTTAAAAAGCTTGTCTTGGGATGAGGCAGAGAATGCAAAGGGAGGATGCAATGAAACTGAAAATACAAGGGGAGGAGTTTGGGATCAGTCTGGGGAGAGAGGTGTAGTGAGAAGAGTGCAGAAATAAAATAAGCCAAAACCATATAGTAGGTTGTTCAAAGGATAAGTTGCCTAGACATTTTGAATAATTCCCAATTGTTCAGCTGTGCATGAAAGAGCATCCCAGGACTTGGTTTACAGTCTGCAGGCCAACAGGGAAATCCATTTGATACCTGTGTGATGGGTGAGGGTTGCTATTCACGGTCTGGTTTTCCAGACCATGGATTTTCCATTGCCAAATTATGTGTTATTATCTTTCCTATCTGTGCAAGGAGAGTTGGTCAGGCTTTTCTCCTGAACTGAGTCCTAAGCCTAGAGAACTTGCAGTGAACAATCTCAAAATACTGTACCTAGCTGTATCCCTTTTCTGAGAAATGGCTGTGGGGTGTTTTAAGTATGGCTTCTGGTCTGGGTTGTCTGCAGGCCCTGCTTGCAGTTTTCTAACCTTAGAAAAGAAGGATGCTTTAACTCAAAAAGGTGTGTTAACGTTAATTCATTACAGGTAAAAAGCATTACTGAGTCCCTGCAGCTCTCCTTTCTCAAACCAGCTAACTTCAAGAAGAAACCCTAGAAAGAACGAAGCTGTTGACAGGTGAGTGGACAGGTCCTTTTCAAGCTTAGAAGTGTCCCTCTTTGTCCTCTTCCAGCCCCACCTGCTCTGAAACTGTCAGTCAATGAAACATTGGTGGTCAACCCTGGTGACAACATCACTATGCAGTGCTCTCTGACAGGCGGTGACCCACAGCCAGAGGTGCTTTGGTCTCATTCTCCCGGCCTGCTGCCTCCCAACAGCCTCGTGCAAGGAGGCAACCTCACCATCTGGAGGATCCGCGTGGAGGACTCAGGATACTACAACTGCACAGCCATAAACAATGTGGGGAACCCAGCAAAGAAGACAGTGAACCTACTGGTGCGGTGTAAGTTGCTCTTTTTCTCAGAGGAGGAGTTAGATTTGCATTCTCCCTGAGTGTTCTTGTACAACTAAGGGATGCTTAGCAGAAATCAGTACTCTGGAGAAGCTGTTGTGCAAGCTTCTGTGCTCCCAGATCAAGAGCTGTGCTTTGGCTACTTTCAGCCTCATACTAGGCTGCATCGCTATCCTGGGCTAGACAGGGATCCTAGTCTTACAGGTGTGAGGCCTTGGGGATCTCTTGTGGGAGCTTAGCTAGAGAAGGTCTTGGGACATATATATTGCACAGAGTTGCTGCCCTCCAAAGGAGTGAAGGGCTGTTGTCTTGTGCCATGTGAGGCTCTTTGCTGACCCTAAATGGTTTTGCATTTGTGTTCATCCCAGCCATGAAGAATGCCACGTTCCAAATCACCCCTGATGTGATCAAAGAGAGTGAGACCATCCAGTTAGGGCAGGACTTGAAACTCTCATGCCACGTGGATGCTGTCCCCCAGGAGAAAGTTGTCTACTCCTGGTACAAGAATGGGAAACCAGCCAGGTTCTCAGACCGGTTACTCATCACCAGGAATGACCCTGAGCTCCCACCTGTGACCTGCAGCTTGGAGATTATCGACCTGAGATTCAGTGACTATGGCACCTACCTGTGTGTGGCCACCTTCCAGGGAGCACCCATTCCTGACCTCAGTGTGGAGGTGAACATCTCCTCAGAGACAGGTGAGCCTTTCTGTGACATCTGGGGACCTTCTGGACATCACATCCTCCACCTCCATCCCACAGTTTTAGAGTAAGACTATTCAAAGAAGGCACCAGATTGTGCAGGAAGATAGAGGAAATGATATTTCACCAAATTTCATAAGTCCTTTTGCTTAGAAGGGAGTAAAAGAAAAAATAAAGCTGTTCATTGCTTTCTTTGGCATAGCTTATGAGGAGTATTTTCAAAGCTATGATCAGAAGATTGGTATCATCTGTTATAGCAAATTCTGTGGAAAGATTTAATGTAATGTTTACTAGATTGCAATTTCAATCTGTGTTGGGTACACTCTGCAGGACTCCATGTGTCACAAATGCCCTTCACCTTTAAAACCAGGGTCAAAACCTCACCCCATGGGTTGGTGAGGACAACCCGAAGATATAGGCGAGCTTGAGAGTCTCCCTGGGGACTAAAATTCAGAGTCTCAGAGCTGTATCTTTGCTTCTGGAAAAGCTGGTGGATCCAGCTCTACCCTTCAACATATCCATGTCATCTTGCTGTCTTTCCAGGATCTTGAGAGTATGGCACAATACAAGTAATCTGGCAAGGGCATTCAGCTGCTCATAGAGCTTGTCCTGAACCTTTATAAGAAGTTTATTTTCAGTCTCTGGTTGTGCTGAACCCATTATTTGGGCTGGTCCCAATGCCATTTCTGGACCTTATTGCTTCAGCACCCTTGGAGAAAGCAGTGTTGTACTGCTTCTGCTGATTCAGGAATCTGTCTCAGCAGAAATGCTGGGACTGGGACCAGTCTGCTCCCAGTGAGACTTAACTCACATTCACCAGCAGCCTGAAGACTGAACCCCTACCTTGCCATGGACCTGAAAGGCACCATGGCTGGTGCTTCCACTCTGCTAGCAGCCCCTTTGTCCTGTAGGTCTTGTGTGGGGGTCACCGCCACTGTGAGTAATTCTTTTTGCCCAAGAGCAGTAAATGCCAAAGTGCACTTGTGTTTAAGGATACAAAAGGGGGGAGACAGCAAAGAGCTGAGAGACCCTGGATGATCCCACCAGGGAGCTGGGCAGCTCTGTTGGCACAGGGGTTGGCCCAGGTTCCCAATGGAGGTGTCTGCAGCAGCTGCTCTGTGCTGGTGGAGAGTGAGAGCCATACACTCACATGGGTTGCTGGTAGAGAAGGTCATCCTGGCCATTCTGAAGCCTCACTTCAGCAGCTTGGTCCAGCAAAGCCCCTTTTGTGACTGAGGGAGTGAACGCCATTGTCCTGGCTGGAACAGCCCTCAGGTAGCATGAGCCCACCAGCAGCAACCAAACCACATCCAACACATGGTTCCTGCATAAAATCTTGGTGGGTTTTCCTAAGTGCAGGATCCGTGCAGAAGAGCAGCAGTGGCAGTTCCAACAAGAAAGACCTGAGCTCGCCAAGGTGGCTGCTTCCACGGAGTGGCTCTGAGGAGACAGCTTTAATTAAAAAAAAAATCTCCAAATGCAATTTTCAGCTTTTCCCCATGGAGAAAATTACTTCTAGCAGGTAAGTGAGTGGCTGCTGGCACTGTTGGCGCTGAGAGTGTTGTCGTCCATCGCGCTGCACAGGACAGGGTGTGATGAGGTTTCCCCAGCCCATGGAAGACTTGTAAATTGAAAATGCGGCCTCCTTGTTGCATTGGGAGATCACTGCTGAGGAAGATGGGGCTGGAGCCATCCTAAATCTTCTTTAAAGCAGCTGTAGGCTGTAATGTGTACAATTAGTTTAGCACACTCTTCCTTGCTGGAACTGAATTGAGCTAATACTGGTCAGGCTAGCTTGTTACAGCTGTCCTAAACTTTGCTTTAAATGGAAATGAATTACATAGTTATGGAAGTGTCAATCCAAGTGTCACCATTGTCAGCTGGAAGGGCTGAAAGTGGAGCTTTCAGAAAACGACTGCTGCCCTTCCAACTCAAATGATTCTATGATTCTATATTTACTTCAGTTGAACAGTTAACTCAGAAGCCTAATACAAATTAAATGTCAACATTACGTGGGTTTTAGCATGAGCTTTCCCTTCCTGGGCCTTTGGTGAATGTGGGGATGTGAACAACAAGCTTTCCCCAAAATCTCTCCTCCCTTCAGCTTGGACTTCTTTTGAGCTGTTTGTCAGCAGTTTTGTTTGCTGTCTGAGAGCTGTTTTTTTCTTGAGCGTTTTAGTGCCATTAGCTCCAGCTAGGCAGCAGTTCTGCTGGGTGAGCTTGTGATGCACAGGAGTGACATTTGCTGAGACCCCTCTCTCTGGAGTGAGCCAGAAGTGTCCAGCACACTGTGAATCTCAGTGTAGAGTAAACAAAGACACTTAACAGAGATGGCTCCTTACTGTGGTTTAGCAGCAAACAGAAGTCCTGGGTGTCTGACAAGGCTGGAGGTTTACTAAGCACTAATCCTACAAATCTCTGTTTCTGTCTGACCTCTGTAAGAGGACTAGATGCCTTTGCAGAGACATCTTCTATTTCTTGGTCAAAAGTTTGCAGTTCGATTTAGGAAATTTACTGACCAGAAATAGAGAAATGGATGAAAGAGGCTTTTGCAGTAAGAGGTGGGAGCTGGCAAAATGTTCCAGGAGAGCTGGCAGTTGTCATTGACACTGGGGTAAATTTTTGGAGAATCTGGGAACTTCCTTGGTACCATGCAGCTCTAGACTCTGTAGGATGGTTTACATGGGCAGTGTGTTCTTGTATGGGTTGCAGTAATACTATCAGTGTCAAGTTGAGTTCAGGGTTGCTGGAGTGATGCAGGCACAAGCATCTTGGGAATGTTTGTTGCTTATTGGAAATCAAGCGTAAAACCAGTCCCTTTTTATCTCCCTTTTAGTGCCGCCAACCATCAGTGTCCCCAAGGGTCAGTCTACCATCACTGTCCGGGAGGGCTCCAGGGCTGAGCTGCAGTGTGAGGTTCGAGGGAAGCCTAAGCCACCCATCATCTGGTCCCGAGTAGATAAGGAAACCCCCATGCCTTCAGGGACAATGACGGTGGAGACATATGATGGGAAGCTGCACCTGGAGAGCGTCAGCCGAGAAATGAGCGGGACCTATAAGTGCCAGACAGCCAGGTACAATGGCTTTAACATCAGACCACGGGAAGCCCTGGTGCAGCTCAACGTGCAGTGTGAGTATAATATGTAAGAGGAATACCGGTCTGAATGCTTGTGTGAGTGCAAATCATCTCTGTCATACTGAGTAGTGCTTTCAGGCAGGGCTGGCGTTTCTTACTGGGCTGAGATTGCATGTCTCTTTTATCTGAAGACCTTTGAACAGTTTGTATTTAATTGGCCTGGCTGCAAAGACAAGGGTAGAATACTATATGGGTAGTGTGTTGCAAGTGGAAGAGAAGGGTGTTGTCTGTGTTTGTACACAATATTTTTCCATTTCTCTATCAGTTGACTATATTGCAAAACAGCTGCTTTGCAAAATGTGCATTCAGGGCATATTAAAAAGGTTGTGAAGTCAGAATTGTTCAGAAGATAGCAAATGAATGTCAGTTATGACATTTCTACCTCATAAACCTTTCTGCATCTTAGTTTCCCCAGCCTGAACCATTTTGCCTGGAAAGCAGCACTAGGCAGACCCTCACATGGACTGCATAATTCCAAATAGTTTCCATGCAGATCGTGTGAGCAACAGAAAACTGACGGTTAGCATGTGGCGTATTGAGTGATTTCAGTGATGGGTGGTGTTCCCAGCCTTGCTTTGGTGAGTATATCTGTGCATTAAGGTGAGTGCTGCCTCACTCCTCCCTGGCTCACTCTCCACGGAAAGGAGAAGCAGGACTGGAGCAGATAACCTGGCTGAAGCCAAGCAGGCATATTGCTGACAGGTGCAAGCTGTTGGGAGTACAGCAGTAACAAAAGTGTGCCATATCCTTCAGGCATATTGGAGTATTCTAAGATTCCCCTTTAAAAACAGTTTGCCTGTCCATTTGCGAGCATGTCAACAATTGAATTATGGGATGGGGAAACGTGCAGGTTTTCATGAAGTGGAGATGTGTGTGGAGAAGATTCTGTGCAGGGTGGTTGTGGGTGCCTTGATTTAAGCTGTTTTGGAAGGCAAGCTGGGATGAGCATATGGTGCATGGGAGGATGCAGCAGGGAGAGTGATCCTCACCCCAAGGATGGATGGAGATACAGCAAAGTCTCACTCTGGAGCAAAGAACAATCAGATCTGCTGGAGCCCCCAGTTCTTGCTGGTGTTTGAAAGTGATGCTGTCCCCACTGTATGGCATTGCAGAGGGAGAGGTAGTGCCCAGCCTGGGATGAATTCAGGCTTGATAGGTAGTTTGGAGGGGAATCACAGCTGTATATCTTGAGTTGGAGTGGATAGACACAATTCTCCATGCAATAGATGGTAGGCAGAAGCCTGAAGTTGTTGTGGGTATGGCCTATGGTGTGATTGATCCACAAGAGGGAAAAAAAATTGAACTTCTGTATAAAGAGTAACTTGACATACTCTTCCTATAACTTTTCCTTAAGCCAAGCAATGTTTTGTTGTGATCTAGCCCAAGTAACAACAGCATGGTCCATGCATAATAAACAAACTGTGAAACAAGAAAGGAGGGCAAGAATTGCCCCCATTGCTTTTATATCCCCTTAAAAAATGGGAGGAAAAAAAGCCAACAGCAAGCAGCACAGCCCATGTTTATGCCTCTCCTCCTAGTTTGAGCAGCTGGAAGGAGGTGGGTGCAGTGGTGGGGCCGCAGTGGTTAATTGAAACGTTGCTCTGCAGTGTGAGGAGCTCATTAGTCCGGTCGCTTGCTCTGGAATTCTCATCATATCAGAAATGGGGATCGTGTGGCTTCTGCAGCCTCCGTGATGAGTGCTTCCCACCGGAGGGCCCGGTTAGGTGATAGGCATCCACAGAGCTGCGTGCGCCCACCTGCGTGTGTGTGTGTGCATGCAGACGTGCCTCTCTGTGTGTCTGGGTGAGCTCCTTTTGAACCGGCTCGCTCAAGGGAAGAGCGAATTCTGAGTGATAATGTGGCTGTTTCTCTGATTTGCTCCAAAGCTAAAGTTGCAAAATCAATACAGCAGATCTGATTAGATGTCAGAACCTGTTTCTGTGTTTCTTTTTTCTTTTCCTTTTCTCCCCTTGCCCTCATGCATATGGTTACGTATTGTAGCAAACCAGCCCAGAAATAGGCTTTGCCAACTGCACTGCAGTATTGGAAAAGAGAGCAAGAAGACAAAAAGAACAAGTCAGCTGTCACAAAAAATTGTTCTTATTTTTTTACATTTTGCAAGCAGAAAAAGATGTTCTTTTATCTTATGAGCAGTAATTGTCTATCATCAACTCCCTGACAGGCTGGCTAGTCTGCTCCCTGGACTTCTTGGTCTGAACTGTAGGGGGTTGGAAGATTAATAAGTTCATGAAAGTCCTTGCAGCCTCATAGGTCTGTGGTTAGGATCAAGAAATGTTACATACTGGTTAGAGGGAGAGATTGGGCTCTGCAGAACTCCTGGGGATCCAGCTACCACTCAGTGTGACAATTTCTCGTCTTTTCCCATTTCTTTAAATCAGGAATAAAACTGCTCTGTCTCTTCAAGGATATGTGAGGCATAATAAACAGCACTTTGAAATCTTGGAACAAAAATAGCCATGGAAGGGCAGAGTGCTGTTGTTAATAATATCAACGCTATTGTTAATGCTGTTGTCAAGCCTTTTTCTAGGATTAGGTACTTGCTCAAGAAAATCCTGGCAGAAAAATGAATCCTCTGCAGAGGTGGGTTTGAATTGAGGTCTGGGTCACTCTGCGCAGATGAGATCAGCATAAGGCTGTAAAACACCCTCTGGACTTGAAAATGTATGGCTCTCTGTGCATTTTGGATTAGAAAGTATAGTATGAGCTAACACGTATGAAAAGAGGAAAAAAAGTCTCCGTGTGGATCAGTGAAAATGATGTTACCTAGATGCAAATTTAGCAAGTACATAATGTAAAAGAAAAAAAAGTAATAATAAAAATCCGTGCATTCTGCAAGCCTGGTCAAAATAGCATTTCCATAAATTGCGGAGAGCAGGAGTAATGCACAACTCTAGCTATTGCAAGAGCTGGCCTTAGCAACAACTTTATCTTGTTGTGGTGATATTACATTTGTTCTGTTAGAGTCTTACATAATAGCACAGTGCAAATTGTAATCCCAGTACACTGTTCTGCTTGCATGATTACGTGCCAGCCCTAATGCTTTGTCAGTGCTGACCATCATGTTACATGCTTCTGGACAGCTTTGTCAAAGTCCAGCTCAGCCCTACCCTCCTCATAACGCCTAATCCTTGATACATCTCCTCCAGGGAATATTTATGTAGTTCAGTCTGAACAATGATGCTGTTTTTCATCTTTGGGTCACACTGCAGATGATGTCTAGGCAGAAGGAAACACTAGAGAATGAATAAGATGGCCTGAGAACTTGACCCCCTCTAGATCCAAAATAGTAGTCCACAGTCATCTGGGATTGGTCTCCAAAGAATTAGACTTACTGCCCTTAGGTTGAGTTTTGCACTGTACAGTGGGGAACAGGTGGATCATTGTTTCATCTTCAAAGCACAGTTAATGTTAGGTGCAATCAGGAAAGTAATCTGACATTGTCTTTGGAGGGGCATCCACCATAGTTAACAGGACTTCAGGAGATATGTGTAGTTCTAGCAATGTGCATGGCTATAAGGCCAGTAACAAGGACAGTGATGGGGTGAGAGACAATGGCCTTAAGTTGCAGCAGGATAGGTTCTGGTTGGATTTTAGGAAAAATTTCTTCTCAGAAAGTGGTACTACATGTGATAATGCATTGGAACAGGCTCCTTAGTGAGGTGGTGGAGTCACCATTCTCAGAGGTAGTCAAGAAACATTTAAAAGAGGCACTGAGGGGCGTGATTAGTGGGCATGACAGTGATGAGTTTATGGCTAGACTAGGTGACCTTAGAGGTCTTTTCCTACCTTAATGATTCTATGATAAGCAGACCTGGCTCTGCCCCCATCTGAAAGGCAGCCAGAATACAACCTGGGGTGGCATCTGTTGCCCTTGCTACTTAAAGAAATATTCAGGTGCAGAATCCCATCCAAGCCCACGTGCTATTGACTCATTTCTCTTTAAAATTCTCCTGAACCTATTGGTAGTGCTGTACATTAGGTGGGCAATAGTCAGCATCAGTTCTCCCTGTTACCTATGTAGCAAACAGAAGAACAGGGAGCAGAGGAAGGAGTGATTATGTCAATAAGTAAGACGTATCACTGGACCCACGCAACTAGAAATGAAAATGCACTAAATGGTTTCAATCAGTGTCAGTGCTCTATGCAGGTACCCTACTTGTTCTGGAACATAAACATGGATATTAAGTACTTTATTAAAAGTGCTCTTGAGAAATGCTCCTGACATGGAGATGGTTCTTCAGAGTGGTTATGATGGGGCTTTGGGCTCCTCAGAGCTCCCTGCAGCTCTCTTTGCTTATGTGAAGGGAGTCTAAGAGAAATGAGACTGTCCCTGGCCAGTGCTGGTTCATATCTGTGACTGAGTTGGTTTATCCATCTTGCTGCTTGGGCCATGTGAGCTGGAGTGTGGAGCCATCTGCTAAGAATTTTAGACTTGGCTGGTTTAATTTGTGAAATTATTAATAGTAGCTGTTTTATTTTTTTAATTATGATTTTAATCAGTGAAGCCTAGTCTGACACTCTACTTCAAGTGGAGGAATGCAGTTCAGAATCTTTATTGGGAGCTGGAGGTAATTTTTCTACTCTTACAGTTGCTGAGGCTTTCCTGTCCTTCCATTCATGTTCAGTATTGTTGTGCTACATCCCACAAGTCTTGTTCCTAGCAGAGGGAAATCTGTCCTCTTGTAATAACCAGAGCTCTGGGATGCTAAGGGTGATCTTAAAAATTAACTGAGGTTCTTCTGGAAAAAGTGTGCCTGCATTCAAAGTCATGGGTAAACCTTGCCTTTTGTGAATTCAGTGTTTGCCAACCTGGGCACCTTCATTAGTGAGAAGAAAATTATTTGCAGCTACAGGCATGACCTCAACCCACCAGTATGAATGGGCAAAGCCTGACTCTGTCATTTGGTCCTACTTCAATCAAAATCCTCCTTGTTTCTTTTCTAATTTGTTATAGGTTTGTGTGACTAAGCTGA